GAGAGAGAGAGAGAGAGAGATGACGACGTCATTGTCTTCCTCTTCCTCCCCACCGCCGTCTTCCTCCTCCTACGTAAGCGTACGCACATTTTTGGGTACGTCCGCGTATGCACTGCAGACGCGTACACAGTGCTACCCTGCATTGAAGTAAAGCTTTTGCTTGTTTGTGCAAAAAATGGAAGCAGTTTTTCCATTATTTACAATTTTGCACAAAAAATCGTTTTTTCCATTATTTACAATTTTGCACAAAACATCGCTAGTTGCTTCTGCACAAAAATTGGACGTAGCTCCCAAAGAAAAAAAAAAAACATAAATGGAAGTAGCACAAAAGTTGGACGTCAGATTTGGTACAAGGACATAACACAGCCAGGCTTTTTTTTTTTTTTTTTTTTCCTTTTGTTTTTTCTTTCTGTGGTCCAATGGACCACGGATCAGATATTAAACTGATCGGAATTCCACGCAGATTTTGATCATTCCACAAAATTGGACAGAAGTCTGAAGATTCTTTGGTCTCACTTTCTTCAAATTTGACGCAGTAAAAAAAAAACAAATCAACGTAGCTTGATTGTTTGCACCAAAAAGACAAAAGATTCTTTACACGCCCTTTTTCATAAAAAACCAGATGGAACATCCATTCGTTCCCCCCCAATTCCCAAAAGGTAGCTCTCTCTCTCTCTCTCTCTCTCTCTCTCTCTCTCTCTCTCTCTCTCTCTCTCTCTCTCTCTCTCTTGATTGTTTGCACCAAAATTGGAAATACATTTCTTTACACGCACTTTTTTCAAAAAAAAACGATGGAACATCCATTCGTTCCCCCCAAGTTCCAAAAGGTAGCGTTCTCTCTCTCTCTCTCTCTCTCTCTCTCTCTCTCTCTCTCTCTCTCTCTCTCTCTCTCTCTCTCTCTCTGTGTGTGTGTCTCTTTTGCACGCGTGCCCAGCTGACTCTAAACGCAGTAAGGGCAGCCTCACACTCATACTTTTTTAATGGAATCTAACCGTCATCCTGACCAGATTCATCTGGGACACTCCTAATACCAAAAATGACCTTACGCAGGATAATCCTTCACTACGCACTCCATGAAACATTCCCGAAGCCATTCCAAGTCGAGATTGCGACCGATCGCGACCACTCTGTTCGTACGCGCCTCTGTCCCTTTCCATGTCTGTCCCGACCTTATTTCGTACAACTCGTGTACGGCCTGAAAAATGTGCTTAAACTCACTTCCCGCCACATTGAGCACTCCTTTCATTCTGTACACGTCAGACGCCTTCACTCTCTCCCACAAGAGATTTCCTAGACACCTATCGACCTTACCTTCATCCACGTGGCCATCGAAGCTGAAGCTCACGGTCCCAACCCCACTGTCATGCTGATGGCTATGGTCGCTCTTCGCCAACGTCTTCAAATCCATCCACTCACCATCCAAAGACCGATGAGGATCGTACGATCTACAATTCAAGACATCACGGAGATCAAGCTCACATCGGACTGCACGGACGATCCGTGCCACAGAGTTGATTCGTCGAATCTCCTGTTCCAGGGCTTCTACCGCCATCTCCTTCTTCTTCGTCTCCTTCTTCGACTTGTGCATCTGCATCTGCATCTTCTCTCTCCTGTAACACTCCACCATACCATTCACCTTCTCATCACCTCCTCCTCCTCCTCCTCCTCCGCCTCCTCCTCCCAAACCTTCTTTTTCCTTCTCCTTCTGCCGTTCCTGCGGCTGCTGCTTCTGGTGCCCACCACCTCCTCCTCCTCCTCCTCCTCCTCCTCCTCCCAACCCTCCCTTCACGTCTTCCTCCTCCTCCTCCTCCTCCTCCTCATGCTGCTGCTGCTTCCGACACCTCTCCCCAGAGCCCGCCGCAGCTTCGCCCTGACATTGCGGCTTATCCTCATTCACACCTCCTCCCCTCCCTTCCTCCTCCTCCTCCTCCTCCTCCTCCTCCTCCTCCTCCTCCTCCAAGCCTTCATCTTCAACCAGATCGATCTTGTTTAGGATGATGACGTCAGCAAAGGCGATCTGCATAGATGCCTCATTTACGGTTCCATACACTCGCGGCTCGTTGAGCTGTCTCTTCAAGTTCTTTGCATCCACCACCGTCACGATTGCATCTAATCTGACGGACGATTCGAGGGGGTCATCAACCCACAGCACAGCTGCCACAGGGCCAGGATTAGCGAGACCGGTGGTCTCAAGCAGGATGTAATCAAACTTCTCTCTCTTCTCCATCAGCTGCTCAAGCGCTTGTACGAAATCATGCTTCACGTTACAGCAGATGCAGCCATTACCCAGCTCGAGCCATTCTTCCACGAGGGCACCATCGTCTCCATCGGTCACCATAGCCTTTTCGATACCTAGCTCGGCGCCAAATTCGTTCAGGATGACCGCAATTCGATGTCCATGCTGCGCCGTCAACACATAATTAACCAACGTCGTCTTCCCCGCTCCCAAATACCCGGTGATGATGGTGATCGGTACCTTCTTCTTCAAGTTCTCTTCCGACGATCCCGCCGCCGCCATAGCCGCAGAGATATCGGAGGTTGAAAGCACCAGCGGAACAGCAAGAGGCACTTCTTCTTCGTCGTCATCATCATCTTCTTCTCCTTCTCCATCTCCACCTTCTTCTTCTTCTTCTTCTTCGGTTCCATTGCCCCCTTCGCTCCCATCTTCATCTTCATCTTCCATTCCATCGTTCATTCGCTTCTTCCTCTCAGTAGCAAAGAGGTCTGATGTGCATGTATCCCGATCCCGACGATCGTCATCGTCATTCTTAGCGCCGCCGACTTCCATCTTCCCAACAATCTGATGGCTGACATCATAATCTTCATCTTCCATTCCATCGTTCATTCGCTTCTTCCTCTCAGTCGCAAAGAGGTCTGATGTGCATGTATCCCGATCCCGACGATCATCATCGTCATTCTTAGCGCCGCCGACTTCCATCCCCCCAACAATCTGATGGCTGACATCGCAAGAATCACGCTCGCTCCCCTCCACTGCTGCTTCACGGTCAATCTCCATAACCATAAGTCTCTCTCGCTTCCCTCCTTCCTTCCTGTCGAGAGTACACACAACAGAAAATTCGCAGACATCCATTTTTTATTTCTATTTTTTATTTCTATTTTTTATTTCTATTTTTTATTTTAAGTCTCTCTCGCTTCCCTCCTTCCTTCCTCTCGAGAGTACACACAACAGAAAATTTGCGGACATCCATTTTATTTTTTTATTTTTTTTGGGAGGACATCCAATTTCATATCAGTTAGCGAATATATATATATATATATATTTTTAACTCAAAAGAATTCCGTCGAAATGAACGAGTTTCAGTCTAACAAGACTCCAAAATTATAAATCAGTGCATCACACTCAGTCCTATAAGGTCTTCTTTTTGTTGTTTTTTTTTTTTTGTTTCGCAATGACAAGAAAAGTGTCCTTTTCAAACCGAAAGTCCAGGAAGTTTGAACCATTCACCGAAAGTTCAGGGAAGCATCTATGAATCATCATCCACATTGTGAAACGGCAAACTGCCGTTTCACATGGAAGTCCTTGTAAAACTGCAGAGTTAACGATATACCCCTATATGAGGCTATATCGTGATATCCTCTTTCCTGATCAGCATCGACTGAACTCACACCAACCCTGCAACCTGAGCATACTGTCGATCCCCAAACCCTTGACAAGAACGGCAGAGTGTGTATCAGTGTTATGTGTTGTTTGTGCTTACAAAAAAAAACCTAATCTCTCTCTCTCTCTCTCTCTCTCTCTCTCTCTCTCTCTCTCTCTCTCTCTCTCCACAAATCATCACAGACACTCTCTCTCTCTCTCTCTCTCTCTCTCTCTCTCTCTCTCTCTCTCTCTCTCTCTCTCTCTCTCTCTCTCTCTCTCCATCCACAAGTCATCACAAACCGTCCGTGTCACACACACAGACACACACACACACACACACACACACACACACACACAGAGTACCTAAGAGGCGGCGATGAAGAAGAAAATGAAGATCAAACACAATCATCCACGAGCGCAAGGGCATACAACATGGCATATTCGCCACATGGCGCGCTGCTCCACACCACCTCTCTCTCTCTCTCTCTCTCTCTCTCTCTCTCTCTCTCTCTCTCTCTCTCTCTTGGCCGCTCAAGAAGATGACGACGACAAGGGCAGCGAGCACTGTTTATAAGGACAACGAGGAAGACGTCACAGCGAAAATAAAATAGAGGAAGAAGACGAAGAAGAACGAAATCCAGAACCAAATGCGGCCCAACTGCGCGCCACGTGGGACTGATCGTGGATCATCTCTCTCTCTCTCTCTCTCTCTCTCTCTCTCTCTCTCTCTCTCTCTCTCTCT